AGGGTTGCATGGGCGCTGGCCGGCAACTCAGTCCGTGCTGAAAAAAGGGCATGGACGGAGGGAGGGATGGATACATTGCTGCATCGAAGGTTGGAGGCATGGACGCATGTCTGTTAGGATGGACGGATGGATGATAGGATGATAGGATAGATAGATGGATAGATGGATGGGTAGCTGGATAAGGGAGCAGGAGGGAGAGGGCAATTGAACCGTACAAGGCCACAAGAGTGGTAGATGCATAGAGAAAGGTCTTTGGCGATAGTCAAAGAAGGAGCCCATGGAGGACAACCTTTAATCAATCCGAAACCTATGAGTTTGTTAGCAAGTGTAGCTTCCAACCCAGTGCTTCAAGTCTGGCGATGCAAGATGGCGTGTGTAGCAGTTCTCACACCCTGGAGTTGTAGATAAGATACCCATACACCTTGTCTTCGCTGCCAGCCCTGAACTTCTCCATAGCCCGAAAGCTCGGCACAGCTGAGGCCTGGATGCAGCCCGTGCTGGCCTTGTGAGAGGGCTGATGGCAGTGACGAGGAAATCCTGCTTGCGGTCCTGGCAAGCTGCAAACAGCTGTGAGAGATGGGGGCATGTGGTCTAGCTACGTCCACATATCTCAACTTATTTGGTCAACATCTACCACTTCGCTTTTCTTCAATGATTCGTTGGCTAGGTGTGTGTGTGTGTGTTTTGCTCACAAAGTCTTGATTTATGAGAGCTTGACGACTTGTTTTGTGCCGAGATGTTCTAGCTGTAATATTAGCATCCAGTCATGGTGCCAAGGGTATGTACAGCTATCCTTCTACCACTTCATCTCGATGTGCCGATTCTAGCCCAGCATATACACACACCTGTGATTTAGGTTTATGTCTGAATCCGAGCGGTTTCTGTCTCACATGAACGAATGGACGTAAAGGTTCCGAAGGTTGGAAGGCTACTGTTACTCTTTCCTGATCCGGGATTGAGAGCCACGGGATGAGGGTTGAGGTCTCAGGTTCTCTGGGTTTTGGGTTTCGAGTTGAGCTGGATGCGCATGTGGACAGCCTTCGCAGCTCAAGACCCAACCCCCGCCCCCCCCTTTCAGTGTATAACCCGCAATCGGAAGATCGATGGCAGACCGTTGCTTCGAAGACATGTATGCCCGAAAATCCGCCCAAAACCGCCAAGCCCCGAAGCCGCATCGGAAGCTCCCTACCAACCTTGCCATGGCTGACCATGCAGATGACGACGGACTCCCGGCAGCTACGAAGTAAGTGGGAGGCTTCCCTGTTTCTTGCTGTGCTCAGCTTGAGCGCCGAAGTTTCACAGCTTTGGGCCTTGGAGGTTTAGGATTTATGGCTTTTTCGGGTGGGGGATTCAGTCTCGGGTTGTAATCGCTGTGGAAGTAATCTTAAAGACACAGTCCGGGAGTTTGGTTCGGCTGAGCGGTCAAACTCAAACAAGTGTTGGTTAAGTCTCTCAAGCCGTAAGCCCCTTCTCTCCGCACTCCTGAAATCCACAAGAGCCACTGAGGATATCTTGGGCCCAGCAGCAGCCAAGACTCGCAGGGCAGCTGTCTTCGTTTCGACTCTCAGGATTCCGTTCTTGAGGACTTGGTGCGATCCGCTCTCCGCTATCCTAGGCCCCGATATAGGGTAACCTTCATGGATTCAATGGTTTGAGGGTTTAGGGGCGCAGAAACCTGAAGCTTAAGCTCCGAAAGTTTGGCTTCGTGGCAATATCTGCCAGGACCAGATTGGGAGGGACAGCCTACAACGGCAGATGGATGTGCCTCGGGCCTATTTCTATTTTCGATACCGACCCCGAACCCGAAACGCTGAACCCCAAACCGTAGGCCCAAACACCGGTCCCCAAACCCGACACGCTTTATCCGGATTGACCAGCTATGGGTGTATGAAGGACGACTGTGCTGGTGAAGGGCCCCTAGACGTCAGGCCCTGATCCAACAAAGAAGGACCCTATGCTTACTGTTTTTCGGGGCTGAACAATCTTGGCATGCTAAGCCCTAAGCCCCGAACTCCGAAGCCCCTAAACTCTAAAACCCATTGTTTCAGAAAAATGCTTTCTATCACCAGCGGAGTTTAGCTCCGAGCTCGGCGACGTTGCCTTCCTCCGAGATCCATGCTTAGTTGGCGTCGGCTGTTGGAAAGGAGGCGTGCAGTGGTCTCTCGTGCTTGAGTTTGCTTTCTCCGGTGCGACTTTGTCAGCTGGGCGGGCGGGCCAAAACCCCTAAGCCGAAGCCCTACACTTATCCTTACATCTATATCTGCTTATATTATATATCTGTATATTTTTAGATATTATGTGTCTATACCACAAGACCGGAGGTGCTCGTCGGCCTTTGCACAGCGCTCTCGATGGATCAGGCAGCCTTGAGACTCTCGGCGCACTTTCATCCAAAGGGCTGAGGATGTCGTCTTAGTATAGGGGCCTTCATAATTCGAATATAGGGTCCTTCATTATTCTAATATAGGGGCCTTAATAATTCTAATAGGGGCCTTAATAATTCGAATAGGGTTTTGGAGCCCATTATACTACATTCATATGGTGATTAGTTTTTAGTCTTCTATATCAGGGTTGGATATAGGGTCCTCGATAGTGATTCGGACCGGATGCCTTCGAAGGGCTTCTACAAGGGATCGATACGGGTTGACTAGAGGGACCTTAATTCTTAGCATGGAGCTTTGGGTCTGTAGGGGATTATAAGGAACTATTAGTACGGAGGCGTCTTTATTGGCCATGCAAGCTGGCTTCAAAGTATACGATTCTACGATCATTGCGTTCGGGGGCGTGCTGTAGATATATGATGAGCAAGAATCGCCAAATGATGGGGCATGTTTAAGATATGATGAACCGGAATCGCCTATGAGAGGGCAGGTGTGTTTTAGATGTATGAGGGACCGGAATTGCCAATGAGGCGGCGTGGCATGATGAACCGGAATCTCCACGTCAGGGGGCGTGCTGTGGATATATGATGAACCGGAATCGCCAAATGAGGGGGCGTGTTTAAGATATTGAACCCTGAAGTTGAATCCGGTGGGCAAGTGGCCCCTGAATTTGGTTGCTAAGTGAACCCAAACAGTGCGGAGTCAGAGTGGCTAGGTGATCCCGGCTTTTGGAAGAAAGAACCCCACAGTAACCCGCAGCGCACAGTTACCAATGTGTTTCGCCTAGTATAGGTTATGGCGGCCACGAGATTTAAACTCACGAGCAAAAGTTAGTAGTGTACACATTGCATGGCTAGCTGTGCTTCGCGGGCAAGGCTTTCAGGAAGGCCATTTTCTCCCGGCATTGCAGTGTTTAGCTGCAAACTTAGGCAGATGTAGACCACCCAGCCGGAAACTAGAACAGTGCATTATTGCCAACTTGATTGAGATGGCGCATGCCGCATGCAGCCATCATGCAGCTTTTGAGAAGGGCGAACCCCAAGTCACCACGTTTGCATCGCCAGTTCGTCTGAAACACTGCCGCACCTCTCCCTTTATCAAAGAATCCCGGACCTTCAGGTAAGAAGCGTCCAGGAGTTTATCAGGATTCCAGAATTGGGGGCTGCAGGTTTGCTAGGAAACATTTTGCTCTTCAGCAGCTGTCCACTTTGCTGAGGGCTCAACTTTGGGGCTCAGTCATTTAGGGTCTTATAGGGTCAGGGTGAAGCAAAGCAATGGCCCGGTAGATCCAAAACCTTAAACTCATGAATCCCCAAGCCCTAAGATCCTAAAGCGCTGCGACAGACGACCCCCCCACCCAGAAATTAATGTGAACCCGTTATGGCATCGTCGTAACCGTGTCCCTGCGATCAGTGCATCGCGACCCAGGACTCAGGTCGTTTGAACATGTTTGAACCACACGGTGCCATAGTATACTATAATGTACTGTATCATATACTACACGATACTACAAGCGACTACAGGCATGCTATAAGAGACTCTAATTACAACTCACTTGAAGTTCCCTGACTCGCCCGTGGTGTTTGCGAACGCCAACCGGCAGCTCGTCTGGCTGAGTCCGAGTAGCGAGAGCGCAAGATCAAGCGCTCAACTTGAAGTCATTGAGAGCCCACCAAAAAAGCGGTGTCTCAAGGTCGCACCCTGCAGAACATAGACGAGAAACTGAGCCGGCTAACGGAGCAGAAAGCGCCTGCGCCACGCAACAAGGCAGAGTCGAGCCAGGGTTTAAGATATCAGGTTCTAGGATCTGGGACATATAATATACTGTAGGGGTTTAAGATATCGGGTTCTAGGATCTGGGACGTATACTGTAGGGGTTTAAGATATCGGGTTCTAGGACCTGGGACGTATACTGCAGGGATTTAAGATATCGGGTTCTGGGATCTGGGACGTATACTCTAGGATATCGAGTTTGCGAGGGGCACATTTACTTGAGTTAGTGCGCCCCCACTTGCTCAGCACTGTAGCAGGAATGCCGGCTCCGTTGATATGTCTGGTATTGAGGTTCGAAACCATTCTCGGGGTCCGTAGGTTTCAGATGGTTTCAGCACATTCTGTCCAAAGACCTTCTTCTACTGTTTTGAGTAAGCCTTCTGCATTCCAGTTTTTCTTTACCAGGGTGTTCAAGTTGCTGACTCGGGATCAGGGTCTGGAAAAATAGATGCCGGAATTGAGGGGAACCTGTCGCATCGAGCTTGCCGCTTAAATGCCAACAGTGGGGCTCAGTTTGTGTGACTTTAACGTTTTTTGTTGATGTTTCCTATCCCTTCCGTGACTGGGCTTTGGCAAGGATTTCAGGGCAGCAAAGGTACGACAGCTTTAGTTCAGGGCCAGTTTGCATGATGTCACAATGCCTCTTGTGGCACACGGGACTCCGTTTGCCGCAAGGGCAGAACAAGCTTCGGCGCCGTACCCTGATTGTCTTGGCTCTGACATGTTCTGACTCTATCGGATAGGTCGAGCAGAGCGTGCGGATAGCCCTGCGCTGAACCTGGCAGGCTGTGTCAATGATAGCCAACGCCGTGTCCAGAGCTTCTTTGCCCCTGTCGTTCCTTGGGCGGTTCATCAAGAGTCCAAGATAATGTCGAGTCTCATATTATAGCTTATTATAGTCTTGTTACAGTATCTATCTTTTCGTAGATTATGGTATATCGAAGGCTAGGAGTTCGGATCCTGGTGTCTTCTCTTGCCCATGCAAAGCAGAACAAGCACGATACGGGCCTGCATAATTGCAATATTTTGGTGTTCCTTCTTGTAACCATTATTGCAGCTATAGTGTGTATCATATACCCCGAAACTTTATTCTAAATATTGAGGCCGCCCTGCATGATTCAATACGGGCTTCCATGTTCGAGCCAGACGGTTCAGCTTCAACATCTAATAATTTGCTCGTGGCCCCTTTGTACAGATTCCACTTTATGTTCTAACGTTGCCGAGGCGATGCATGCATGATGATAATGAGCTGGTCGGCGCCAAGAGTTGTGCACTGGTTCTTCGTTCCCAAAGCCCGACAGCCCTAAACCCAACCTCAGCCAGGCTACCTTCACCAGTGCAAAGTCGTGGGCTTTCCGCTTTTAAAGATTTTAAGGACCGATTGGACGGATTAGGGGTTTAATCTCAGTTTACAGTTCTGTGGGGTTTGTTGGGTTTGCACATTGGGAGATTTGGAGTCGGAGTTCAGGATCTATCATGAGCTGTCATGCAAGATATCGACCATTAGCTTCATAAAAAGCCTACAGCCCAGATCTTACGCTCCTCCAACAAGGCTGGGCAGGAAAATTGTAAATCCTAAACCCTGAACCTTGAACACCAACCCTGCAATGCAGGCCTCGTCCTAGCTGGGCGGCCAACACTCAATAAGCCCTATACCTAAACCCCTTTATCCCACGGGGCGGAGCTGGACGAGACAAGGCTTCGCCACAAGGAAATCTGAATTTCTCTGGTTTCGTGCTTAGCAAGGAGGACCTGAAGGAGCTTTGAGCTCCAGTATTCGTAATTCGTAGTAGCTGAGTAGGTAGCCTTTACTGCGTTCAGGGTTTAGGGATACCTTTATGTTTTGTCTGGAATGGCCTGCCGTGGACTCATCACTACCCGCTTCTGCATTATCACATTTCCATTTCCAAGTAAAGTGTGAAACATCCAATTCCCCAAGTCGCAAACCTGAGCAGCCCCAGTCGCCTGCAGGACGTGGATCAACTCTGGGATGCCCACTCGATGAAGGAAAGGGCTGTTATGAGTTTTGAGTGCTGAAGTTTGGGTGCTGAGGGATATGGGGTCTGGTGTCTCAAAGCACGGGTTGCTGGAATGGGACTACTGACGGAAAAGAGGTTCGGAAACACCGTGCGAAGACTTCAGATCTGCGACGGAGACAAAGTCGGATCGATGAGGAAGGGCTGTGGGAAGTGATTCACTGCAGGGGATGAAAGGCATCATAAAGGCTCATGAATAGCAGGCAATCTGATCAGAACAGACTCAACCCTCTATCTGGGAAACCGAAAAGCTGCACACCCTAAAACCTGAACCATAAACACCCTTCCCTATCCCAACAGCATCGTAGCGCAAGGCCCCGAGGCTGTCGCCCTCAACAAGCCGTTTCGGCCGTCAGTGCTTTGTCGCCACATCCAGGGAGGGTGGATCCCTGTGGTCGTCCCGATAAAAAGCCATGTAGTAGTGCTAGAATGGTTTCTTTAAAATCCGCTACAGAAGGACCGGCAATTCGGAGACAGGGTCTCAATCCTAAACCCCAATCTACGGTTCAGGGCTTGTAGGGTGTTTAGCAGCATCTCAACCATAATCCCGGAAGCCCACAACCTAGGTTCAGACTGAGAGGTCTGGTTGATCAAGTTTGGTAGCTGGGGTTGTGCACTGTTTGCATCAAGCCTCAGGCGCTGTCGCATCCGGCTGTTGTTTTCTGACGGTGCTCGTTTCGCCGGTAGCAAGGTCGAGGGATTTCCATAAGTTCAATAGGATTGTGGTGTGCACTATGGTAGACGCCATCCGTATATATATATATATATAATATGNNATACATACATATATACACATATACATATACATATATACATATATACATATATACATACATATACATATACATATACATATACATATACTTTTACAGTTACATATACATATACATTTACATTTACATATACATTTACATTTACATACATATATATATATATATACACATGTGTATATATATATATATATGTATATACAGATATATATATATATATGTATGTATGTTTCTGTGGTATGTTAGGGTATACATTTATGCGATGGTGACTATAAGGGCATGTTTTAAACTTGAGGACTGTGTAGTATTTCAGAGCTGGCCTGGCAACTGATGGGCCCAAAACTAAGCACACAACACTAGCACTTGAATTTGTGTAGTCTTTACGGCTTACGGTTTAGGGGTTTGGCATTCAGCGTATTCGCGGTCGAAGAGGGCAGAAGAATACGTTGGATCCCCTTATAGTCACTACATGCGTATACCAGAAAGTGCCCCACAAACCCAGTCTCATTGTCAACGCCGCGTGTTTTGGGGATCGCCTTGGGAGCAAGTCTAGCTAGTCTGTGTGTTGATCAGTGTAGCGAGACCCTTGAGGTTGCCAGGGCAGAGCGAAAAAGGGAGACCAAAGTATACTCCAATTTACTGTGAAATATTACAATTACAAGCATAGTCGAAACTCCCAACTAAGCGGGTTACAAACAACAGGGTGGATTTTGGGCCCCACTGGGGCTGCGCGACACCGAGGAACAGTCGGAGGAGCTGCGGGGAGACTGATTCTCGGACAGCCTCGAAGGACGGAGGGATTCGGGGCTTTACAGTAAGATGCTTGAAGGGTTCAAAGGGTTTAGGACAGAGGGTTTTGGACTTTAAGGCTTTGGGGGTTTTGGGGTTTAAGGTTTTAGGGGTAAGGATAGATGGATTTGGATTTAAGGCCTTGGGGATTTGGGGTTTAGAGGTTAGGGTTAAGTTCGGGGTTAGGGTTAAGGTTGAGCACCTAGGTTCCAGGGTTTATCGGATCCAACATCCGAACCCCACAGAATGCATGCATCCCTTGTCCATGACCACAATCCCGAACGCTAAGTCTGAAGCCTTCACGAGACTCACAGGACAAGCCGCGGCCACCGCCCATTGCTATTTCCAAGCCATCTCAGGTGCAGCCAGAACCTTGGCCTTTATGGCATGGACGTTTATGTTTGCTCGCCTACGGAACAGCAAGACTATAGCATAAGAGCAGCCTGCAACCCCCCTCATCTAAGCAAGCGCTGTTCTCTTCACTGTTCGTGAAAGCTTTCCAGCTCACTATCTCGTCTTCATACCCTTGGTTTTGAGCCTTCGGTGCTTTTTACTTACATCTCCAATTCCCAAATGTTCAGCATCATTGGACCTTCTCGCATCTCAACCGAGCTCCTGTATTTCAGCTCTTAAGCTCTGACCTCCAGGCTTAGGGATTTCGAAGTGACCCTAAACCCTAAACCCAAACCCCTTGTGAGAGTGTAACCCCTAAACCCTAAACCCTAAACCGTTGCTCCAGTCGAGGACCCGCCCTCGGCGAGTCCTCCCTCCCCAGTACCGGAAGAGGAAGGCTTGTCGCCCAAGGCCCATGTGGGGGGGGGAGGGGGGGAAGGGGGGGTCACTAGGGTGGGTCTTGGGTTTTTCTTGGATGCCGGCAGTCCAGCTTGTACCTGCCAGTTTCCTGAGAGCGTTCATGACAAAAACTGATTGAATATCAAAACACGACTATGTCTTATGCATGGTCAAACATTGCCCTTCTGTTCGCAGGAGCCGGCGTGGACATCTAAAAGCTCGAAGAGCCGTGGCTTTCACAACGAGTCCAAGCCTTCGAAGATGCTCGGTACTACCTAAAAAAGCCTCAATAAATTATGAACTTGTAGACCTGTTCTTTCGGGTACCTTAGTATAACTATGCTATCGGATTGCGGCTCTAGTCTGAGCTTACAAGACTCACTGGGGCCTCTTTCGAATCTTCCAAAGGGCCCAGAGACAAATCCCATAATGGACTGTTTGAGGCTTCAGAGAACAATGAACATGATGATAACATAAACATAACTGTTCATCCTAACAAAATCCTCTAAAGGTTATGTATACAAGAACGTTAATATATCTGAAAAACCATTCTGGGTTAGGTTCGGAGCTGAGTTTGGTTTTGGGAATATTTTCGAGCTTTCGTAGTAGCCCTTATAAAAACCCTCGAATTCCAAGCTGAGGGTCACCCAAAGCCGTAAAGCCCAAACCTATTGGTTGGGGTTGCGGGGTTTCGGATGACAGGGGTTTAGGCATAAACGCCCTATAAGCCCGACAACCCTGAAGACGGGGTGTGGGGACCTTTTAAGTTAGCCGAATCTCAGGGTTTGACTCCCCGAGTTTTCCTACATCTCTAAAAATGCATGTTCAGCTGGTTCAGGGTTTAGGGTCTATAGTGTTCAAGTGGTTGAGGGTGCTAAGATGCAAAAGATTCAACATCAATAATGCCAAAGCACCAAGAGGATACCTGATCTCTTCATCGTCCTGTTGCATAGCTCCTCAAACCAGGTTTTACTGGTTCCGTATGCTCTGTATCTATCATTTGTGCAGGCTTGCTTCCTTTCGTTGTTTCGCCGGGTGTCCCCATTAAAGGGTCAACACTGAGCAGCAGAACGAAGACCCAAGTTTCCAATCTGCAGCCCAGGACGTCCAAGAATTCGGGAGACCGCGATCGCCCGCTTGACCCTAGCTCTGCAGTAGCTTTCAAGACGCGCAGAACTTGAGGTTGGGGGGTTCGAAAACAGTTCAAGTTTGGATTTCAGAGGCTGGCCGGCTTTTGAGACATCAAGGAGGCTGGGCTTGACGGTTCATGGGTTCTGATGAAGCTAAGCTGCAGTCAGTTAATTGCCTGCATGGTTCACTTGATACTTTGAGGGCCCTATTGCCATGCCATTTTGCTTTTGAGGCCCAAAACCCTAAACCCAAAACCATAAATCCTACTCATCCCACGCCGGAAAAAAACCTAAACCCTGAACCCCGGCTTTGCACATCGAGTTTGGCCTTGGTGCCGGGGCATCGCAGTATAAGGTCCGCTATGGTTTTGTGTCGGAATCGAAAGATGTCCCACATTCGCGGTGCATCTCTGATCCTTCGTGAGGTCGGTCGTGCTAAACCAGTAAAACATAGTGAAACCCTAGACCTTACACCCTAAAGTGCCAATACCCGGGTTGCGCACCTCTCAGACGGGTTCCGAAAAGCTAGCCATGACTTTGCTCTTGCGCTTTGAGCAATGAAAAGCAAGAACCGTGGCGAGGACATGAATGTTTCAACTGGCATGACCAACAGCGACATCTCTTTGAGCCTTGCCTGCCTGCTTTGGGTAAGCGTGATCGCGGAGGCCAGGAAGGGCGGCGCATTGCAAGTGATCGGTGCTATATTGCCACAGGTTTAGGGTTTATAGGGTTTAGGGTGGACAAAAACTTGGGACCCCCTTCCCCGCAGAACATCAGAGGTGGTTGGCAGGGCACTTACTCTTTAGAAAGCTGAGCTTATGGGCAGGGCTTCGCTCGACAACCGATTATGGCCCTAGCGGATTGTCACGGCTCTGGGCCAAAATAAGAACCTCGTTGCGTTATTTAGGCAGCTCCAGCTAGCAGGTTACCTGGATGCCCAAACTGAATGACGGCGACGCGCTTCGAGTATCTCTAAAGCTGCAGCCTATCCTTATGCGGGTTGTTTGTGTGACCACATGTTCACCAACTCCTCACGTCACTCTGTAACATACCACATACCTATTCCAGCAGATGCACACGGACTCGTAAATTCCCAGCCCAGCAACACTCTCGATACCCTGTCTCTCGCCATGAGAGCCCAAGGAGCAACCTCTTTCGCCACCGTGAGGCTTCCCGACTTATATAGTGGCCTCTCCCCGTACAAACGTTGAGCCTGTTCGGATTCGGCCCAAGTGCAGTTGCCATAGGCAGTTGTAGGGGATGCCCTGTAAAGGCTAAGCATGTCCAAGCAAGTCGATTTCGATGTGTCCCGGGGTCGAGAATATGGAATTTTTGGTCTGCGAGCGGGCAGGGTGGTATGAATGCTTCGTTGCCGAGGCTTTGGTGTTTCAGTCAGAGGTTGTAAAATCTATGTTTCTGTATTTGTCGGTTGAGAAGAGAGATTTAGGGCTGCAATATGAAGACCTGACGGCTTTTCAGTCCCTGGCGCAAGCCTCCAGGGACCCGAGCCGAGTTCCTGGCCGTGGCCCTCACCAGCTCTCAAGTACAAGGGTTTAGGGGTAAGGGTTTAGGGAGGTTTCGTGGTAGAGAATGGTTTGTTAAATCACTGATGTTTGCTGCAGCGGGTTTAGAGGCAGGCCACGAGCCGGCATCACGGTGCTTGATTTGGCTGAAACAGAACTGCACACAGTATCTTGAAGTCGAAACAGGCACGACTCTTGGCGACGGGACGAACCAAGGCACGAAAGCTAAAGCCCAAATTCCCACACCCATATCACCAGCCTCTTCGACTAACATGGTGAATGAAGTCAAACTCCTCTTCCGCGGGCATTGTCTACCATGTAAACCCCAAGCCCTCAACCCTGCGGCCAAAGGTGCTTCAGCCTTGAACCCTAACAACAAAACTTCAAGGCTCTAAGCCTGTAGCGATTGAGCACGGCGCCTTGCTCTAGGCGCAGCTCATTCCGAGTACGCCTCCTGCTGCCCCCTCACCGGGCCCGCTGGGCTCGGCGAAGCACAGCGAGGTGGCCTTTTGGGAATGGTTTGTGGGATTTAAGGTCTACAGTCTGCGGGTCGTTGCACTCGTTCGTTTAACGTTGAGCCTGTTTTCTCCTGCTTAGTGATACAAGTTGGCTTGTTTATCTTGGTTTCATTGGGCCTTTTCCGTTATTGGCGCAACACGATATGTTGCGAGTTACAGGCTTGTGGCACAAGAGGACTGCGGACCCAAACGGGCAGAGCCTGAGTGCTCTATGGTAGTCCGTTTGCCGTTTTGATTTGTGCCATCCGTCTTGCAGCATTGCTTGGGCAATGTAATGTGGGGTTTTCCCTGCTGTTTCTCACAGATTCCATGCAAATGGTTTCAGGGTGATTTGCGCCCTACTATAAAACCCTAAACCCCTCAGAAAGGGTCTTTCTTCTTGAGAGTGTCAAGGAATCCCGGCAGGCGGTTGACCAATTGCAGCCGCCATCACTTCACTGCTTTCGGATTTAGGGTTTCTTTTGCCCGGCTGCAGAACAGGGTGTCTTTTGCATGAAGTGCTTTGGCGGCTTATCACCCAACCTGGGCTGGTAGGAATGCTAGATGCCTACACTGTTACACCCTGAACACATCAGCCCTTGAAGACCCAACCGAATTACACAGGGACTCCTCTCCTCAACCCTCTTCCAAAGGCGTTTAAGGGTTCAGAACGTTAGTCTTCGCATCGTTCGGACATCACTCTCCACGGTACGTGTTCTTGGTGGACGGGATTGAAAGCACTCCACATGCTAATGTAGGTCTGAGTGGTTACTATAGTATGCTCCGAAACCCTGTTCAATTACTAAGTCTAAGGCCCTTGATTCGCTGAAACTGACGAGACATTAGTGGGAAATTGAACAGGCTCTTCAGACCAATTGCCGGAATCCTGCCAAAGATGCGAAGCCTAAACGAGCTCTCTTTGAGGGTTTAAGGTTTTGGCTTTAGGGCTTAGGTGTTAAACCCCGGAGCCCAAAACGTATACAAACACTGTCAGCTGAAACCTTCCGTTTCTGACTGGAGACCCTAAACCCCAAAGCCCTAGAGACACTAAACTCTGAGCCTTGAGCCCTACCTGTAGTCGAAAATAGACCTACATTTTTAAGTGTCCTTATTAAGGTTTCTATATACAGTTTCTTAAACAGGTAGGTCTTTTTCGCACAGGTAAGCCCTAAACCCTGAGCCCTTAAAGTGCGAGAGTGAGAGTCGAAACCCTTAAAACCCTAAATTTAAGAGCCTCCGGCTCAGGCCGCCGACGCCGTGGGCGACAGACCAAAAGCCGAATCCCTAAACCACCCCCAAGACCTAGGCTGATTGTCCATGCGCAAGCCTTGAGCGTCAACGCGTGGAAGCACGGAAGCCCATGCGGCATCTCGGAGGTCTGGGCACTTGGGCCATGAGAGTGCGGGGGTT